TTAGCCATTTAAAACATGATGAATATTTATTCTTACCTAGTTTCTTCCTTCCTTTCTTTCTTTCTTTCCTTTTTTTTTTTTTGAGACAGTCTTGCTATGTAGTTCAGGCTGACCTTGAACTCACCATGTAGCCCAGGCTGACCTCAAATTCACAGTGATCCTCCTGCCTCAGCCTCCCCAAGTGCTCAGATTATAAGTGTGCACTACCACACCTGGGTCTTTCACCTAGTTTCTATGGCTTGAAAATCTAGAAGCAGTTTAACTCAGGGTTCTAGCTTAGGATCTCTCCTGAGGCAAGCCATCAATGTGGTCTGCTATCAATTGACAGCTTAACTGGGGCTGGAGGTTGTTCCAAGATGATTCAGTCATCTTGGGGGCTATTGGCAGGGCCCCAGTCCCTGACCACATGAGCCCCTACATAGGGTTGCCTGTGTGTGCCATGACATAGTGACCGGCTTCCCCCAAAGTGAGCGCTCCATCCAAGAGAGCAAGGGGAAACATCCCAAAGGTCACACAGGCCACCCCCGTCCATGGGGGAAGAGTGTGAAAGACAGCAGGACTGCCAGGAGGCCATTGTGGAGTAGATGGCCACTATGAATATGCTTAAATTTTCCACACACCTGCTCTTTCTAGATGCTGTGCCCAGCCCCAGTGAGCACAGGAATGAGTCAGAACCTGCCCGCCCCTTACAGGATCTGCACGTGGGTCTGTGTGTTGGGGGTGTGGGTGGGGAAGTCAGGCAGACATGGAAGCAGATGGTGTCAATAAAGCTCAACAAATACTGCAATAGTAGAATAGTGGTTCTTAAAAAGGGCTTTGCTGTGATGCATATTTATGAAAAGCAATTAAGGGACATCATGAAAAGAAGCTCTCCTCCCCTCCTCAATCTACAGCCAACAACTCCCCCAACTCAGAGGCAACAACTGCAGCCAGCTCTGTGTATTCTTCCAGGACTATTCCATGATACACAAACACTTTCTGCCTCTTTTTAAAATTTTATTTATTTATTTATATTTGTTTATTTTTTGTGGTACTGAGGATCAAACTCATGACCTGGTGCTTGCCTGGCAGGCACTTGTGCCACTGAGCTAAAGCCCCAGCCTTTCCTGCCTCTTTAAACAGCTAGACATCACTGTCCACGGTGCACTATTCTGCAGCTTCCGTTTGGTCTTGTTTTTCTGTCTTGGAAATCAATCCCAATGATAGCTGCATTGTTCCTATTTATGGTTGCATAGTATTCTAATGTTTTGGAAGCCACCATTTATCTAACTACTCCGCCATCATCGAACATTTGATTGATTTCTAATTTCTTGTTAGAGAGGAAGTTGCTGATTTTCCCTCTCCACACATATGGCTGAAAATGGAGAAGTTCCTGGCATCGGACCTGGATCCCCATCTTGGATCCACCAATAGGGCCATCAGCTTCTGGTCACTTGGTGCTGATTGGGTTATCACACTTAGCAGCTGCAAGTAACATCACCTCATCCTATTGTAAACTCCTAGAATGTCAGTCCCAAGAAGCTAGGGTTTTGGAGCAAAACAGTTGTGGAATGAATTAATGAATGAGTGAGTGAATGGGTGAATGAATGAAGTTGATCAAAGGGTGTGTGTGAGAGGCTGTAGTTTCTGAGTCAAGAGGGAGTCCTTCTCCTCTCCCTTCTCCCTTGAACCTGCCGCCTCTTCTTCCTTTCACTTGATCATCTGAGTCAGGGTCCTTGCTCCGGCCCTGTCCCAGTCCCCTGCACCCTGTCCCCTCCGCCATCCATCCCCCTCCTCAGCAGCTCCATGCTCTGTAGAGAGTGGAGGAACACAAGCCCACGAGCCACTCCCTAGTGCTTCTCAACCTGCCCACTTTTCTGGTTTCCTTTCCTTCCCAGCCACCTTGCCCTCTGGCTCACCAACTCCATGCTCCACCAGAAATAATAGTGGGCACTTACTGAGCACGTACCACACGTACTTTGATATGGATTTAAATGTCACAGCATCCTATTAGACTTTTATGAGGGTGATGCTATGGTTGTCCCCATTGTAAGGATAAAGAAACAGAGGTCCAGAGACATTCAGGTCCAGAGCTTACCAAGGTCACCTGCTTAATGGATGAAGGTGTGGGGGACCAAAACCATTCAGCCTGACCCTCTGGCTTCACCCCCGTCCTAGCTGGCTGCTAGTCTTGGAGTGTGCTGTGCTCTTCCCTAGGCCTCTGCTTTCGCCCAATCCTGCCAAACCCCCACCTGCCAAATCCTTGTTTATTCTTGAAGTTCTTGCTTATAAATCACTTCCTCTTCAGATTCCCTGAAAGAGCTGGTTTCTCGCTCTTTGATCTTGCAGTTGAGCATCTTAGTGCTGTGATTATTTGGAGCTCCAGACTATGTGTCCCCAGTGGGCAGGAATAGCACTGTACCTCCATCTAGTGCCTTCCACCGAGCCTGGCATAGAGCAAATGCTTCTAAATGTCTGGTGGCTGAACAACAGGCTCCGAGGAATCTTTCTCTCAACACAGAGTTGGGAAAGACCGGCAGAAGTCTCCAGCAAGAGCCGGGCAGAATAGGAAGTTGCAGAGCCCTCAGATGGGAGAAGCTCCCTTCAAGGGGGCCAGCTAGTAAGACTTTTACTCGCCAGCTGCCCTGGGGTCAGAGCTGTCCCCGGGTGATGTAGCTGCTAGGGAAGTTCCATATTTGCACTACTCCCCAGAGGTCCTTGGGCACCAGCTGCCCTCCCCATAATGGGGTTTTCCCCTCTTGCAATGCCAGAAACTGAACCATGGTAGAAGTGACCCTGGCAGAATCTTTGGATGCTACAGGAGGAAGTATGGCAAGGGTTTCTGTGCACAGCACTTGGGGCTCTCCAGCCAGCACCCTCCGGACTTCTGAAACCAAGGGGTTGCATGGCTTTGGTAAGACAGTAGTTCCGGGGAGGGTAGGGACTTTCTTGGGTTCTCAGGGAAATTGCCCCATCCCCTGAGCGATGGTGTAAGTTCTGTCCCATCTTGCCTCTCAGCGGCCTATCACTGTACTGTGGCTAGGACGATGGGTGGTTTCTGGGTTTCTCTTGCAGGCCTTTAGAGATGTCCAAATCTCTGGTCCCTGCCCCTGCCCCATCCAGTCAACTTTTCCATCTATCATTGCTTCACTCAAGAATTGATTAAGGCTCCCGTGGCTTCAGGTCCCAATGCACTACATCCCAAAGGCTGGAAACAGGACAGGAGAGAGGCTAGAGAAGTGTGTGCTCTGGGGTTGACAGGACATGAGTTCAAATGCAACTCATCACGTGACTCTGGCTCATGCCCTTTACCTCCTCCAGCTCCAGTTCCCTCATCCATAAGACTATGATTAAAACATTGAAAACATCAAAATTAAGCAATCTGTTCAATAAAAGAAATTCATTTAAAAGAAGTCACCCTAGAAAATTGTTCTCTAGGGCCCTAGACCATCAGCATGGCCTGGGTACTGGTTAGAAATGCAAATTCCTAGGCCCCGCCCCTGCTCCAGTGAGTCAGAAACCCTGCGGTGGGGCCCAGCATTCTGTTTTAGGAAGTTCTCCAGGACACTCTAGTGCATGTTAGAGTCCAAGAACCAATGTCATAGATAAACACAACAGATGGGCAACATATTGGGAGAAGATATTCAGGACATCAACATCCAACAAGGGTTTGATAGCCAAAATTTGCGATCTAGTCTTGTGAACCAACAAGAAAAACTCGGGAAATCCAACAGAAAGCAAACAAAAAATATGAACGAATAGTTCACAGAAGGGAAGCTTAAATGCCTGGTGAATGTAGGAAGCGGTTCTAAGTCTCAGAATTAACAGAAGTATACGAGTTAAAACAACGAGATGTCACCTTACATTTGAAGTGACAGGCAGTGATACAGTCAGGAAATGCAAAAATTTTTGAAGATGTGAGGAGACAGCATCATTCACATGCTGCTGGAAGGGTCATTCTGGAAGAATTCAGTGACACTTAAAATGCATGCGTGCTGTGATCTACTAATTTCTGTACTGGGACTAGAGCACAGAGTATTCACGTGGTCCATGAAGGGCAAACACACAGACGTTCATTCAGTACATGGCTGTTGGTACCAAGAGGGTTGGAAGCCACTTGGGTGTCCAGCACTGGGGAGGTGGATAAAGCAGCGTGCATGCTTCACTTGGACTATTTTGCAGCAGATGGTCGTGATGTTAGATTTTCTCACAGCAACATGGGTGGATCTTAAATACATCATGGAGTGGAAAAAGGAAGCAACAGCATGAGATCCTTATGCAACACCACTTATATAAACACACACTGTGGTGCGTTGTGTGTCAGGGAAACATTTTAGCGTGTAGGGGGTGGGTGCTTTCAGGGCAAGGGGGCAGGAGTGTGAGCACTGTGAGGCCAGAAAGTGAATAAAGAAAAACATCAGAAGGGTTTTTCACAGCCAGTACGATGGGATGTTCATTTGCCACCAGCTGAGTATGAATTATGAAACTCTACAGAGTTTCTGAACAATAATCTATTACTTAAAAAGTGAGGGTAGGGGCCTGGGGATTTAGCTCAGTGGCATAAGCACCTGCGTGGCAAGCGTGCAATCGTGAGCTTGCAATTTGAACCCTGGTGCCAAAAAAAAAAAAAAAAAGTGATGGTAGCTGTATCTTCTTTTCAGTAAGTGCCACGTGTCTGGCCACAGGAGGTTTTGTAAGATTCTACAAATTAATTTTAGCTTTTCTTAGGAGTGTCTCTGGCTTCCTCTCAAAGGCTCAGGCTGTGCCAAGTCTGGTCTCATCTCGACCGCTCTAGCTCTCCAGTTCTGCCTTCAAATTGCTTTGACTTCCCCAGACCTCGGTCTGCAGAGTCTTGTGTATATTTCTGTGTGTGGATTTTGGGCACAGAGCCCCAGAGAGCAGCAGGGGTGAGTCCTGTTTCTCCTCTCAAACCATGAGCTCCCTGACAGTCTTATTAGCATGTCACTCCATCATTGCTCTCATCTCATTGCCCCAGGAAAGACAGTAAACCGAGCCGGAAAGGAAGGAAGCAGCTTTTATTGAGCACCTGCTATGCTCCAGGCCCGAGCACTAGGGACTTGTCCTTTGTTAATTCCTCATCACCACCCTGTGAACATGGGGCTATAATGATTGGAGAGATGAAGAAATGCAAGGCAACATTTAAGGACAGTCAGGAGGTTCCCGCAAACCTCTTGCTCTTTTTTGAACCCAGTTTCCAAATCTGTAAACTACAAGAGGTTTGGGTGTGTGTGTGTGTGTGTGTGTGTGTGTGTGTGTGTGTGTGTGTGTGTTCGCGCGCGCGAATTCTATTTTCCAGTCTGCCGGCAGGTGGGGCCCTTCCTCATCCCTCAGCCTCGGAAAAGCTGGGGGGCCCGAGGAGGAAGGGGTGTTCTGAGGCCAGCCAGGCGCCGGCTGCGCCCGCGTGACTACGGGGGACGTTGGGGCCCGCCCTCGCCCTCCCCCTGCAGGACACTGTTGGTACTGCAGGGACCCGCGCCGCGAGGGCCCGGGACGGTCCTCGCGCAGGGGTGGGCAAGGGAACAAGGGTGCCAAGGGCTGGGGACTCACAGCAAGAGTGAGGAAGCTCAGGGGCGGCCTGCCAGGAGCAGAGGCTACAGGTAGTTGTCTTCAGCCACCTCGCCCCCGCCCCGGGACTCGTCGTCGTCGTCGTCGGGGGCCAGCGCCTCGATGTCGTGCGTGATGTCCGCCAGCAGGCGGTGGAAGGCCTGCTCCTCCGGCCGCTGGGCGGCGCCATCGTAGCTGCGCACCGCTGAGGCCGACGTGGAGCTCATGCTGCGCTTGATGCGGCCGAAGCTGTCGGTAAGGATGCCGCCCTCGCGGATGCCCATGCCCTCCAGGAAGCCCTCGAAGTAGCAGATGTCCTGGTCCGGGATGAAGGGCCGCATGCCTGCAGAGGGTGATTTCCAGGGTTCGGTCCCTTCCCTCCCATGGAGGAATCTGCCTCTGACGATCTGAGTTCAAATCCAGGCTCTGCCACTTTCTAGCTGTGTGGCTTTGCCCAAGTTCCTTAACTGTCTGAGCCAGCGGATCATGGTGCACTGCTCAGCACATAGCAGACGCCCCATCTATTACTGCTGTGATTGCTGTGCTCCCGCGTAGGAGCTACAGGACTTTCACTCTGGGCCTCAATTTCCCCATCTGTAAAACTGAGATAATTGCCCCTGTTCTCCGGATAGGCAGGTGAAGACCAAATAACAAGGACCTTGCAACATGTGCGCACCCAGTAAACGTATCGCTCTTGACCCCCATCCTTGCTTACTAGCTATTGGACTTTGGTACTTTGTAACTCTGGGCCTATTTCCTCGCCAGCACCATAGGGACAAATAATTATGTCTACTTCCCAGAATGGAGTCTCTCCATGAGAGGGTGCTTGGCCCAAGGTAACTGCCATGCCATGTTAGCTTATCAGCATTATTATTCCCGTTGTGGTTATTAGCCCTCCTTCTTAGCTGTGTGACAAGCTCCTTAGCCCCTCTGAGCCTGAGCTTCCATGGGGAAAGATGGAAAGACTCAGTCTCCCTCCCTACTTTGCTCTGGAGGAGAAATGGCTTTGTTTCCTGACTTGCGAATCCTTTCCCTTCTCTGCCCCATGAGCTCAAGACCCCAGCCTTATCAGAGGTTGAAGGATAAGGAGAAAACCCTCCAAAGTGGCACCTGGTTAAGAATGACACGGACTCAATAATAGTATTTGTTGCCTGCTGCGAGTGGCAGGGTGGTGGGTCAGGCCTTACCGAGGAGCAGGAACTTGCGGCGGTCCCCGTAGAGCTTCAGCAGGCCAGCGCAGAAGTCCTGGATGGGCAGCCCCAGGCGGTACTCCCGCAGAAGCAGTGCAAACTGCTGGATCTCAGAGGACCCCAGCTTACTCCGCAGCTGTGGAGGAACCCCCTTTGCCAGCTGTCCGGGGAGCAAGCCTGACCAGTCCCTGCCTGAAGAAGCCAGAGCCCTCTCTGGGGGCACGTGTGGCTTGAGAACCCTTCTGTAGCCTATTCAATGGACTCAGGCCCCCTGCACTGCGTCTGAGAGTGGCCACTGGACTCCCAATCCTGGCCCCCTTGGGAACACAACCCAACTGACCCTCACCTGCCGCTCTGTGAGATGATGACAGGACCCCCCTCATGGGGTTGTTGGAAAGGTGAAACGGTAGGTGGAAGGTGCTTAGAAAGTGCCGAGCACACAGCGTGCACTCAGTGTTAAGTGACATGCGTCAAGGCCTTTTGCAAGCTGGCCTCAGTTGACTCGCCCGCCCTGACCTCTGAGGCCTAGGGCTTTGGCACATCCAGGTCCACGCACGGCTGTTCCAGCCCCCCGACCTCCCGGCTCACCGTGACCATGTAATCCTGCAGCTGCTCAAGACTCAGGCCGCTGTGGTCACTGCCACTGCAGTGCGAGCCATGGAAAGAAGGAGTGGATGTGCCACTGTAGCACGCTTCAAATGTGTCCTGGGAGCCATTGCTGCAGGGACAGGGAGAAAAGGGATTTCACCTGCTACCCTCTGGTTCCCCTCTCCAGGGAGGCTGGAGATGGGTGGACTCAGCTACCAATGCCATGGGCCTGAGACCTCATCTGAGACCCCATTTTGGCCTCCAAGATCCCATATTCTGGGCCTCGGTCACTTCTTAAACCTCCCCTTTCACTGCCCCTCTTGCTTTAGATGTCCCAGCCACCTGCCTTTTCCTTTTCCCTCCTGTACTCCAAGCATCTCTTTGCCTCTGGGCCTTTGCACATGCTGCTCATTCTAGCAGGAATGACTCTCCTACCTCATGCTCAAGCTATCTCTTGCTCATCATCCAATCCTGTGACCCTCAGAAACGTCTTCTGTGATCTCCAAACCAGATCAAACCCTCTGTCAAATGTGCTAAGTCATGTTTCCCCACAACAGGCAGATCTTTCCAGATACCCCACCAAACCCTGACTTTCTCCCTGACATCCTCTGCCACCCTCTCCCACCTTCTGCCACCAGCATCCTGATCCTCAGACAGCCAAGCTTTCTCCTGGCCGGAATCCTTGCCCTTGCTGTTCTCTCTACTGACATTCTGTCCCCTTCACCCTGCAGATTTCAGTCCAAGTGTCGCCAGCACCAAAAGGCTCTCTTGACTCCCAGGCCAGCTGGGGGCTCTTTCCTCTCTTGTAGCAGGTAGAGCTCTTTCAGTGCTCCGAATCACCAATGCTTATTATTACTAAGTAGTGAGCTCATTGCCCCCCGTGTCAGAGGGCACACAGCCAAGCCGCAGCTTCTCTGTTAAGAGTGTGGAAGCTCATGTGTGTCTCGGGCCCACCGTCCAGCTGCTTGATCCTTGGATGGCTAAACTTTAATTCCCTATTCCTCAGCTTCTCTGTCTGTGAGACAGGGTGACAAAAATTGGTGGAGGTGTGAAAAACAGAGGTATTAAAATTTGTAAAATACTTACAGTCATGGACTACATGCAGTAAATTATAACCTCAGTAATATTGCCATGTAGCTGCTAATAACTAGAAAATGAGTGCTTTGTAGAACAGCGTTTGGCACAGAGCAAGCTCAATAAATGTTAGTCATTAGCATGATTTTCATCTCTCCAGTAGATACGAGGTTGTTTATGGCCTTGCCTAAGGGTACACTGTATTAGAAAGGCAAATCTATCACCACTAAAAAGATAAATAGTAGAGCATATATTATTGGCAGGAACTACAACTTGCTGATCCAAAGTCCTTTGTAACATGACTAGGGTGACTAACAAGGATTTGCCTGGGACGCTTTTGGTTTTAGAATGAAAATCTCATATCCTGGGAAACCCCTCATTCCTGAGCAAACTGAAGTAGTCAGTCACCCTAAACAGAACCTGGGCAATGCTCCCAACTGAGAAAAAACATTTCAATCCTATAGTTTCAGCCTTATTACAGCTAGTTATGACTGTGTGACCAACTTCTGACGAATCGGGGTGCAGACAGAAGTCACAGGGTGGGAATTCGAGGAAAGAATTTTTTTTTCTTGCAGTGCTGGGGAATTGATCCCAGGGCCTTACTGAGCCTGCGCTCTACCCCTGAGCTACACCCAGCCCCACTGTGAAATTCCTTAGAATTTCCTCGCATGCTGTTGTGATGGCTGGAGCTACACCCTGGTCCGTGAAGTGACCTTAGGAAGGAGCAAGCATCAAGGAGAATGCAGCAGGGAATGGAGCGTGAGGCCTGGTGATCACCAGGACCTGAGCACAGGCTCTATTTTATATAAGAAACAATAAAGAAAGAAGAAAAAGGAAAGAAAAAGAAAGCAAGCAAACCAGCTAGGTCTTTGTTAAGCTACTCAAGCTACACACAGTAAACCAAAATGCTTTCTGGCATTGGCTGTGACCTGGGACTCTGCAACACTAGCCTGGTCTTTACAGAGAATCTCTGTGGACCAGGGTCTGGGCTCTGGTGTCCCTAGGTCTCTCAGGGGCTGGATCCTAGGAGCTCCCCCACAGTCTGGTGCTCAGCTTGCTTAACACTGTCAGTGTCCAGTGTCCCAGCACCAAACCAGGGTTGGACCCTATTTGGAGGAGGGGTGACCCTGTTTGTGCAAAGGTTGGGGAGCCATGGTGTCCTAGGCAAGGGCAGTACTTACAAGGAGCTGCAGCAGCTGAAGTCAGCGTCGTAGGCGTAAGTCCCATCGGTATGGCAGCTGTCACCTGCGACGACAGCAGAGGGACTGTCAGAGTGGCAAAGCAGGACCTCCCTGGCTTCCCAGCCCCAACATACATCAGACCTTTGGGCAACTCCCCTCCCCAATGCATGCACAATACCCCTTCTTGCCTACCCCGTGGGGCTTTGGGCAGAGCAGGTGTGTGTTGCAAACTGTGTTTGAAGCAGGACAAGAAAGAATTTTTCAAAGAGGAAGTGCTGGGGAAGGCAGCACATCCACAGAGAGCCTCCCTTCTTCCCAGCCCGCCCGCTGTCTCATCTGCCCAGGTATAAAACTCATCCTTCTAATTCCAGCCTTTTAGGGTCATTTTGTCACCCTGACTTCTCTGGTGTGGTCAGTTCTTCTTTACACTTTCTCTGTGTTTAGATATTTATCCGTATAACTATTTCTCATCAGCCTGCCTCCGCCCAAGCTTCAGGAAGACAGAGTTGGAGCTGGTTTTTCCCACCAGTATATCCTGATGGTCAGCACTGGATCTGACATAGTAGGTGCCCAACAAATATTTGTTGAATGAATGAGTTTTTGAACTATTTATTGGATTATATCATTGATTTGTCTAGCACTCCATTGAGAGTTGATGAGTTAGCCCAGCTTCCCAACATGCATAGGTTCCATGGATGGGGCCTTCAGAGGAAAAGAACCAACACCCTGCTGCTGACGCTATGTCAGCTGAGTAATGGCCTTGAGTGTGACATGGGTACTGATGCTGTTGCAGATAGAGATTTTGGAACCAGTCACACCTGGGTATGAGTCCATTATTTGCTACCTGGGAGACTGACTATTCTGAGCCTCAAGATCCTCCTCTGTAAAGCTGGAATTATACAGCTCCAGAGAGTACCTCTCCGGTGTGTGAGATGTACCCAGTCCTATGCCAGGATGGACAAGTTACTATAAGGACTCAGTAAGACTTGGCACCTTGCTTCTGCATTTGAAATGCTCAGTAAATGCTTCTGTTAGCCTCATTCTCATTCTAAAACCTGATTGTAACCAGCCCGGAAAGGTTGGTTTTGACCCTGGCACCTAGTAGGACTGACCAGCTTGGCAGGCAGACAGTGCACGTGCTTAGATTTCTGCAAAGCAGGGGCACCCACAGCAAGAGAGAGAAAAGCCCGAGTGTGAGGGACTCATTCTGAACTCGGCAATCTGGACGTCTGTGATGAAACTTTTACCCACTTATGAAGGGCACACTAACTGTGGCGGAGATCAGGACTCTAAGGCGTTCATCAGCCCTGAGTCTTCAAGCGCCTCCCCTGTTTGGCAGGAGGAGGCCCAGGGCCTGGGTACTCACTGTGGCTGCAGAGCCAGGGCCGTTCGGGGGTGGACATGTAGTGGTAGCCAGCCCGGTCCACACACTCGATGCTCTGGTCCCCATAGATGATCTGGAAAACCTGACAGATGAGTGCGCAAGACTCCTCAGCAGCATCCTGGGCCAGAGAGGAGGAGAGGAGGAGAGCTCAGGTCCCCACTGTCTCCAGGGGACCCCCTGCTTCCCCAAGCATGGTGTGAGGAGACTCAGGACACATGCATAGAGGCCCCTTTAAATGCATCTGGAAGGCATCTCCCAGCAACATCATATGATACTCTCTGAGCCTTGTGACCTCTTTACAGGATCCAGAGACAACTCTGGCTCTTCTGCCATGAAAATGCGCCCCAAATTTCTGAGAAGTTCATGGGCTCTCCTAAAGCTTATCTGAAATAAGACCTAATTTAATATACAGATATAGAAGCTGAGGTTCAGAGAGGGAAGTAATTAGTTAAAATTAGAACTCAAGGCTTCTGATATATAATAGGAGAAGAAATAATTAAATACAAGGTGTGATCAAAATATGTGGTGTATGTTTAAATTTTTAAAAGTCACTACAGTAAGGGTACACTGCCAAGAGTCCCCCTCAGAATATCCCCCCTCACTTCAATATGTCATCATTCTTGCCACCGAGGTCTTGGAGCAGCTCTGGAAGACGTCTTTCTTGAGTGTCTTTATAGGGTGTGATAAAAAATCCTGGTGAATGTTCCTGCAGAGCGGCCAGGGGAAGGCAGGCTTGTAAAAATACTAAGGTGCGTTCCTGTCTTCTCCCACCCTCCTCACTGGATTGGGCTCTGCGTGATTTCTGGCTCTTCCCCAAAGTCAAAGTGACCAGGAAAGACAGATGTTTTGAATCAGTTTAGGACACTGAAGCAACCACAACAGTGCAAACTAAAGACACTCACAAAAGAGGACTTCCAGACCTGCTTCAGAAAACAGGCGAGTAATAGGATAAACATGTCCGAAGCACAGAGGAGTGTTCTCAGGGAGATACATGGCAATGTGTCTTTTACTATAAGAAATTTTAAAAATTAAACATGATATATTTCTTTTCTTTTCTTTTCCCGAGACAGGATCTCACTGTCTAGCTCAGGCTGATTTTGAATTAGCTAATGTAGCCAAGGATGGCCTTGAGCTCATGGTGATCCTCCTGCCTCAGCCTTCCAACTGAGATTACAGGTGTGTGCCATCATGCCTGGCTGGTATATTTTTCAATCACTGTGTCTAAAATTTTTAGGTTCAACATAGTTACTACTACTAAATACCTACTAGATGTTATATTTAGATATGTGCTTCCTAAGCCCCAGTGCAAAAATGGAAGCAAAATGAATACTATGCTTGAAGAAAGGAGTTTAAGTTTTTGGGTAAAACTTTCGAGGTTGCATATTCGAAGAGGGATTTACCTCTTTAATTTACCTGTTTCGTCTTTAAACAAGAGACACAGAAAGGCAAGAACAATGAAGAGAGAGAAGCTTCATGAAGGTATTTCCTATTTTGTGTCTCTAGAAAAGTCCAAGGTGTAAATTAAAGAGGAACCGAGGATAGGCATTTGGGAATTGAAGGAAGCCCTGATCACTAAGCCAGGGTTGGGAGTTTCTGTGACCCTATGGAACGACAGGGCAAATCCTTATTTTACAGTTAAAGACGCTGAGGCTTCAAGTGGTTAAGCGACTGGAACGGCTCACACAGCAGACTGAGGTCAGTAGCACCAGCATCAGGGTTTTGGACTCTAACTTCCAGGGACCGTGATGACTCGGGCAGGAGACAGAGGCTCAGACGCTGTTGGGAAGCAACTCTTCCTTACATTCCATTCCACGAGTTCTCGTTTCGTCCTCCTGTGTGGCAGACACTGGGAAGGCCCTGTGCCCTAGAACCCCACAGTCCGCTGCACTAGAGAAGGCATATGTTGCCTCTGTGTGCTGCTGTTTCAATGACACAAACTCTCTCTAATGAAAGTGAGTTCTCTTATCTCATTCTCTATTGCTGCAAAGCAAGAAAACCTGGTTTTCTTCTTGGCAAAGTACAGGAGATAAAATGCCTTAATCCACCCAGTCAACGTGTATTTACTGAGCACCTGTTATGTGCCAGGCATGTTTCTAAGTGCCAGGGGTACCAAGGGGATGCACAAGTCCCCTGCACTCTTACCAGGAGTGCATTTTGGCTGGGATGGAGTCAAAGGGACGGTAGCAAGAGGCCAGGCCAGAGATGAAATGGGGCTGGTGACCGCAGCCTCAGTGGCCTTATAAACAGTGGTAAAGATTCTAGCTTTTCCTCGGAATGAGAGAGCAGCCACTGGAAGAACTCGAGCAGGGAAACGATGTGACTTCAATGTTGGCAGGCCCGCTCCGACTGCATGGAGGAACAGACTGGGAAAAAGTACTCAGCCAGTGAGGGGGTGATGCCGCGACCCAAGGAGAGGAGACAGCGACAGCAGATGTGGACAAATGGATTTTGGTTACATTTGAAAAACAGGGCGGGTAAGATTTATTGAAAATGGATGTGGTGCATGGGTGCATGCGTGTGTGCACCGCGGCAAGGATTGGGCCTAACCAACGTAAAGATATCAAGACAGGGAACCCACAAGATTTAGTATTGGGGGAGAACAGTAGGAATTCAGCTTTGGATGTGTTAGGCTTGACATAGTCATTAGACTTTTGAATTAAGAGGTTGAGTGGAGATGTGGTAAGATACAATTAGGGACACTTGCTTTTTTTTTTTTTTTTTTTTTTGCCATACTGGGGATCGAACTCGTAACCTCAAGCTTGCCAGGTGGGCACTTATGCTGCTGAGCTAAATCCCCAGCCCACTTGCATGTTTTCAAAGTCAAATAAAATTAAATTAAAAGTCATGCAGCTATTGGGTGTGGTGGCACGTGCTTGTAAACTCAGTACTTCGGAAGGCTGAGGCAGGAGGATCAAAAGTTTGAACCCAGCCTGGGCAGTTTGGCAACTTGGTGAAACCATGTCTCAAAAAAAAAAAAAAAAAAAAAAAAAAAAAAGACTGGGGATGTAGCTCAATGCAAAGGCCTTGGGTTCAATAGTGAAAACCCAGAATCCAGAAACGGGGTGGTGGTTCTATTCTCTCCAAAGGATTGCTGTGAGAATTAACCGTGAATGCTGACAAGGACTGGCACTCCGTTCATGGTGCTGATCACTGTCCTCCTGCTGGTGCCAACACTGACCGTACCAGAGAAGTGGGGCTGCAGGAGGGGGCCTCCCATCAAGTCTACTGGCTATTTTGAGCTTCTGTTCTGCTGGGGAACCCAGGGCGAGGTGTCCCGGGTGGGATCCGGGGCTGGTGTCGTGGGCACACCCGCCGTCCTGGATGAGGTCGCAGGAGGGGAAAGGCAGACCCCAGGAAGCTCAAGAAGGGGTGGGGTGGCGTCTGGGCACCCGGGGCGCTGTGCCCTCGGGCTCACCCTGTTGGGCACAGCCAGGATGACCAGGTTGCAGTAGGCGTCGGGGCTGGGGTCCTGAGGGTCCAGCGGGTTGGGACCCGGGTGGCGCCGCTCCCAGCTGCCGCCGCCGCCGGCCGCCTGCCTTCGCTCCCAGCTGCCGCCCGGCTTGCCCGCGCCACCGCCGCCGCCCGCGTGCCGCCGCTCCCAGCTGCCGCTGAACGTCTGCCGCCGCTCCCAGCTGCCCGACGCCCGCGCCCCCGCGCGCTGGCGCTCCAGGCTGCCGCCGCCGCCCCCGGCCCGCGCCTCGGCGCCCGCGCCCCCGCCCCACGCCATCCGCCAGTCCAGGCTGCAGATGGTGTGGCGCCGCTCCGCGGTGCCCACCCGCCGCTTCTCGGGCGCCGCGCCCGGGGGGCCCGGGTCGCACCTCGCGCCGCCAGGGCTGGCATCCACGCCGGCCGGCACCGGGTCCACGCCCAGACCTAGGAGGGGCGGGGTGGGGCGTCAACCGCAGGAGATCGCAGCCAAGCAACCTCTCCAGAGGCCGCCAGGTGGACTCCCCACCTCCCTGCCGCCGCTCCGGGGTCCCGCGGCCGGGCCTCGCCCTGGCACTCAGGGACCCTGGGCCCATCCCGGTCTTCCAAGTCGTCTGGCCTTCCGGATCCCACCAGCGATCTAACTTCGGGCTCCGCACACCCCCTCCGCGGCTTTGACTCCGCCCCTGGCCTCCCGTAGGCTTTGACCCCACTCCGGCCCCCGTGTGACCTTAATTCAGAAGGCGATCGGGCTTTAGCACGCCCACTCCCCTCAGCCCCACCCCGGTTTGCTGTGACCCTGCCCCGGGTCTCAGGGTAGTGCGGCCAGGTCTGCCGTCCGCCCCTCTCCTCTCTCCCCTCCTCTCCCCTCCTCTCCCCTCCTCTCCCCTCCTCTCCCCTCCTCTCCCCTCCTCTCCCCTCCTCTCCTCTCCTCTCCTCTCCTCTCGCCCCACCCCTGTACAGGTCAGTCCCGCCTGCCATCGCCCCCCCCTCCCAGGGCCCAGCGCCGCCCACCGGTCTTAAGCACCAGCAGGTGCAGCGCGTCGTCCTGCAGGTAGGAGGCGGCGGCGATCTCGTGTGTGGGGATGCGCAGGATGAGCTCCTCGTTGTCGCGCCAGGTGAGCAGCAGGCAGCGGGCCGACAGGCTCAGGATGCTGTCCTGCTCCGCCGTGGTCTTCAGCGGCAGCTCCTTCAGCTGCTACAGAGTGGGTCGGTTCTCCTAAGTCCGCGTGGGAGGCGTGGGCAGAGATGGAAAAGGGGAAGGGCGCCGCCCTCCACCCTGTTTCCCCAGAGCCTCACCCTGGCCTTGTCCAGCAGCTGCAGGAGCTCATCACGGCTGGAGGGGTTCAGAGAGGAAGTCACCCAGGTGAGGTGGCCTAGGAACTGGATGAGAAGTGAATGAGTGAAGGACACAGTCACCCTGAAGCTGCGGAGGACCCTGGCCTCCTGACTGACGCAGTAAGGATAGAAATATCTGAATTCATAATAATCTGCTGATAATTTGTATTGAGTCCATAACAGACGCCAAGCACAGTTCTGACGTCTTTGTGTGTGTTCCCTCACCCAGGGCACAGGGAGATTAAAAATTTTGCCCAGGGCTGGGCAGGATTGCACACATTTGTTAATCCTAGCAGTCTGGGAGACTGAAACAGGAAGATCACAAATTCAATCCCAGCTTGAACAATTTAGTGACTTAGCAAAACTTGTCCCCTCGAAATAAAAAGGCCTGATAACGTAGCTCGGTGTGAAAGCCCTGAGTTCAGTTCCCACTAAGGCCTTGTGCATGCTAAGCAAACGGTCTGCGACTGAGCTACACCCTCATCTCTGCTATAGCTTGAAAGGACTGACCTCAAGGTGGTTCATGCCTCCAACCCCAGCTACTTGGGAGGCTGAGGCAGGTATATCACAATTTGAGGCCTGGCTAACTTTGGGAGACACTGTCTCAAAAATAAATAAATAAAAGAGGACTCTGAGGTAAAATGCTTTCAAAGGGCCTGTAGCTCATGAGCACTCTTTACGATCTCCTTGCGAAATTAAATGGACAGGGAAGAATGTATTGAATTAATATTTCATTTTGTCAGAAAAATGGTGCTTCAAATCAATATACTAATTCTTCATTTATTCTTAGTTGTAACCTGATGTTATCACCTAAATGTTATTCAATATGAGAATTAACTTTCTCATTAGTTTTAGTTGTAGTCTTTTAGGTGAATTTTACCAAACTTTTTCTCTTCTTTTTATTTTCCATGAAATCTCAGTCCCCAGATTTTAAGTAGATTTGATAACTTTTGCCTTTAGGTTGCCAGATAAAATACAGGATGCCAGTTAAATTTGAATTTCAGATAAATAATAATTTTGGTTTTAAGTTTTTAGAACTTTTAGTTCTGTGCAATATTTGGGACATATTTATGCTAAAAAGTACTCATTGCTTATCTGAAATTCAAATTTAACTAAGTGGCTATTGTTTGCTAAATCTGACAGCCCCAACCCTTATCATCTTCCTTGGCTGAGGGTGTCCCCTACCCCTTCACGAGGTTTCCTGAAGTAGAAGTCCTTGGGCAATCAGAGTCCTTTGTGACTTGTTCTTAACCTGAACCCTGTCAGGGTAACAAGGTCACTGCAGTAAAATCTTATAGGAAAGTAGAGTTTTTTGGAACACAGAACCCTCTACCACCTACAATCCACAGAGACAAGTGTTGACCTTATGCTGAGACGGGAAGATTGAGGCTCTGCGAATGGAAGTCAGTGGCTAAGGGTTCACAGCACAGGTCAGGGGTGAGATTGATGTGAACCCAGGCCTGTTGCCCAAGAGCCATGACCACCTCAGTATGAGACCAGGCTGGTCAGGGTTCGGTATGGGGGACAGAAAAGGCCTCACCCAACCCCTTCTCGTCCCACACTCACCTTGACCTCTTTCTCCAGGTAGTCACATAGCAGAATTTGGGGGTCGATGAGATAGTCTGGGGGATAAAGGGGCATTGAGTGCAGAGGCCGTCGGCTCACACTATTTCGAAAGGCTGCCCGGCGTGCGGCCTTGGGGAACACCAGTCTTCGGATGGGGGACACAAAGCCCTGTGGACAAGAGGAGGGATAACAGTAATACCATCAACTGACTTTACTGAGCACTTTCCTTGTCCCCTGTTTTACTTACAGGACCTAACTTAACTCTCAGGAAAACTCGGTAGAAGGGGTATCTCTGTGATTCCCGCTTCCCAGATGGAACAGAGGGAACTGAGAAGCTTTTAGTAGCCGTGGAACCAGTTCAGCGTGCAGCCAGCCTGGGGAGCAGCTGCCCGGAAGTGTGGCTCCCACACTTGGGTTCCATTCTCATCACCCTGATGAGGGTGCAGCCCCTCCCCATTAGGTGTAAGGAGTGGGTCCAGACTGGGGCAAATATAGAAACAGCCCGTGTCCATCAGTGGTGGGTGCAAAGGTACTTATTAAGGTATTCTCTGTGTTTCCCTAAAAGAGATAAGTCATTTAAGTACTAGCTAGAGATACCTGCTTAAAAGTGGATCAAGTTTGGAGGTGCAAACTACCGGGGCCCAGCTCAGACCAACAGAATCTAAATGTCTGAAGAAAGTCTGAGCACTGCTCTAGAGCAGCTGTTTTCAGGCACCTTGAAGCCTAGAGAAATGTAGATTCCCAGGCTCTACCCCAGGAGGTAGGGCAGGGTGATCAGGATCTAACGGGCTCTGCAGGTGATTCGGATGTGTGCCTGAGTGTGAGAACTGAACTTCTGAGCAGATGCTCCCCACTCTGGCTGTACTCTGAAACTACTTGGTCAGGCAGCTTCTAAAACTTCAGGTACCAGGCTACACGTTAGACCAACCAAGCAAATCAGGAGTTCTGGGGCTGGGATCCAGCTATCAGGACTCTTAAAAGCTCCTCAGTGGTGATTTCAGTGGCAGCCCACCTCTGAACATATAACAGAATTTGTGGCACGACTTTTTAGCTCCTACAATAAGATAAGGTGAACAAAACAACACCCCTTCCCTTAGTCACTCGTGTTCTAGATCAAATAAGCACACTGTGCACAAGTCTGCAAGGGCCTAGGTTCATCCATTCAGTGAGTGTTAATTCATTCCAGTGTGGCTGGGTGCTGGACTTCAGGCCCTGGCCTGGACCCTGGCCTTGCCTCCAGGGTTCGTGATAAATGGCCTAGACTAGTGAGTTTCAAACTTCACTGTGTTCATGAGTCTTGATCCAGTAGTTGCAGGGTGCAACTGAGACTGTATTTCTAAATGCTGATGTTGTGGTCTGCACACAATACCTTGAGTAGCCGGGACCAAGACCAGTGGTCCTCAAAGTACGATCCCACAGCCAGCATCCCTGGGAGGGCGTTAGCACTGCCATTTCTCACATGCCACCACAGATCTATTGAGTTGGACCCTATGATCTGCATTTTTACAAGCCCACCAGGCGATTCAGGTTTTTGAGCTGACATCACACATGGAGTATGTGGAAGCACTGAGAAATGAGGGCAGACTCTCTAGGTGTGGAGAGGGCATTCCAACAGAGGACACCCCAAGTGCAAAACTCTGGGGGCTTCAAAGGCTGGTTGGGATGAGCCTGGAAATCAGTCGTGGCTGTATTGGAAGATGAACAAGCCACAGAGGCCTTGAATACCAGCTGCAGAGCTAGGACTTCAGCCTGTGTGTGAATGTTGGGATAGGGTAAGTGTTTTGTCTGTGACCTCCAACGGCTCAGCCGCGCCCACTTCAGCCCCGCCTGTCTCCTTGGTCTGCCTTCTCCTGCCTCCGAGAGACCTGGCCTTCGTTCAGCCCTTCCTGTGGCATGTTCCTTCCTATCCTGGGACTCTCGTGCATGCTGTTACTCTTCTCAAAACATTGTCTATCCCCTTCCTTCTGCCCATTAGCTCTTAGCAAAAACTTACCAACCTAGGGGTGGGGACACTAACACTCTGTCTCCACTGCAGAGCATGGGACCTTTTGTGCAATTTTACATTACTTCGTTCATTGCCTTTAAAATGAACAAACAAAAAAACAGTTGTCCCCTTATTAGCTTGTGAGCTCTGGGGAAGGAGCAGGGACCTTATTTGACTTTGTTCAATATGCCAACATCACAGCACCTGGCACATGACAGGTGCTCCATAAATGCCTATCAAAAGGACAAAGCAGAAAGGACATGCACACATGCTGGCTCCCTCCTGAGTGATTCACACAGGCACCTTTTAGAAGGCCCTGGGCCAGGGCTCTTGGGAAAGGAGGGCACTGTATGCCTGGAGAGGGGGGAGGTAAAATGCAAGGAGTTTGGTGACACAAGCAGAGAAGTGTCAGAAGACTTGTCAGAGGTGGAGAGGGGTGGATGTAGGGAGCGGGGATGACTCTCATCTGAGGCCCTTGGAGTGAGTCCTGTGCAGAGATGGAGAGCAGGCAGGGGACCCAAGCCGAGACAGCTTGCCTCTTAACCCAGAGTTGCCCCAGCTGAAGCGCAGGGGTGTGGGAGGATGGGTCTGCTGAGTATCAGTCCGTTCCCCTGTCTGAGAAGCTACAAGATCAAGGAAGCAGGTTTCCCAGGAAGGTCCCTGTCTCTCTGTGTTTCTGTCCGTCCAGGGATGGCAGAGGCCATCAGTAGTGGAGAAATGGATTAGGGAGTTAGAGCCCAAATGCCCGGCTGCCAGGGTTAGAAAGGAAGTAAGGAGGAAGGCCCCACCTGTGCCACGCCACCCCACCCCAGTGGCCCTTTTCCCCAGCTTTGGGGATACTCCTTGCCCTGCGTCCCTCTCAAACCCCCACCTACCTTCTTCCCTTTCTTTACTTCATAGTCCATGGTGGAGCGTCCCCTCTACTCCTGCCACCCTCTCTACCCGTCACCCCCCCTCCCGCCCCGTTCCTTTGTTCTTTTTCCTGCCTGGTCGGAAACTCCACCAGCACTGGAGTTCCTGCCCCTCCCGTCTGTGTGACCGTGGGGAGGGGAGGTGGAGGACATGGAGCTGGGGACCCTGCAGCCAAGGATGTAGGCCCAGGCTTCCAGCCAGAAGGGGTGCTGTCTAGGGAGGGGGCTAGCCATTGGATAAGGCTGGGAAGGGGCCTCTCCGTTTGGAATCCAAATTTGGAAGATTTCAAGTTCCAGCCCCATTTTGGCCACTGACCATATAATGACCTTGGCAAGGCAAGTCAGGTCCCCTTTCAGAGCATGTTGCCCCTTCCCCTGTCTCAGTAAAGAATAACCCCTGCCTCGTTCCTTGGGCTGCTGTGGTAAGAAGTGAATGAGAATGTGTGGGAAATGCTTCATAGAGTACCGTGTTCAAGCAAGTAACAGTTTAAAACAAATCCATTACTATTCAGAGCGACAGGATGTGTGGGCCTCAAAGAACGGGCTGCCTGGGTTTGAATCCTGGCTTTGCCACTTACCAGGATTATAACCTTGGATTTCCATAAGCACTAATAGTTCAGCATACCCATCTGTAAAGGGGGTATAATATTAATTTGACTTCATGGTGACCTTCTAAGGATTAGTTGCATACAGAATAACTCCTGGTACATATTACTCAATAAATTTTGACTCTTAGGGCTGGGGATGTAGCTCAGAGATAGAACATTTAACTAGCATAAGTTCAATTTCTAGACCCCTCCCTCCCCCACACAGAATGAGAGAGACAGAGGGAGAGAGAGACAGACAAACAGACAGAGACAGAGAGGGAGAAAGAGAAACAGTACTTCTTTACGGCTCATGGGCTGTTTTATTATTTCTTGGGATAATATTAGGAAGGCAAGGCCTTTGTTCCTCTGTGATAAGCACTGTGCATATTTCTTGTGTATTTCTTGCCCTGTTGGGGGACCATTATTCCTACTACATAAATTGTTTTGTTTTTTGAGACACGATCTCACTATCTAGTTCAGGCTGGTCTTGAATTCACGGTGTATCTCAGGCTGGTCTCAAATTCTTGTTAATCTTGCTGCAGCCTCCCAAGAGCTAGGATTATAGACATGCACCACCACACCTGGCCTCCTACAAAGGTGTTTTTCTTTGTTTGTTTGTTTTTTTGGTACCAGGGATTGAACTCACAACTTCACGCTTGCCAGGCAGACTCTTCTGCCACTGAGGTAAATCCCCAGCCTTCCTACAAAGATTTTAAAAACTGATATTCAAGTGCACAGCCTAGCTTATGAAGGTTACAGGACCTGGTACTTTTGGCTGGGCTGGATCTGAAATCTGGTGCCTTCTACCTCTAGAATCTATTCCTTCTGCGTGCCCCACTCAGGACATTTAGAAAGGTTCTGAGTGGTCCATCCTTACCAGACTCTAACACTGAGTTCTGAAGGTTCAAATTCTGGAATGTCTTTGCTGTATGCCCCTGACCACCCTGTCTGTCTGCCTACCTACCTATCTACAGAGTCTTCCTATGTAGTTTGGACTGGCCTTGCACTCACTATGTAGTCCAGGGTGACTCTGAATGCACAGAGACCCCCACTTCAGCCTCCCAAGTGCCAGGATTACAGGTGCACACCACCACACCTAGCTCCAGGTTTCTCGTTGAAACCTTACTTGGCCATGGTATTCTTATCTTCCCAGTAGGGTCCATGGTCCTCAAAGCTCTGTCCTGCTATTCAGAGATGTGGCACAGAAGACACAAGGACACAAATTAAAAAGCGGCTGGAAAGTGTAATGTGCAGGTGCCAGGACATCGAGCTGTCCTGCAGTGTTTTTGTGTGTGCCAGGTAAGTATCAGTTGGAGAGATCATCAGGGCTCCCTGATGCCTGTGGGTATGAGAGCTGCAGGAGACTAAAGGGAAACAGCTCAGACTGCTTAACGCCAGCTCTCCCAGCCTCTACGTCCTGCTTCTCCATATCCTGTTCGTCACCTCCCAGGAGCAGGAAATGAGATTTGCACTCATTGCTCCATAAACAGGAAGAAGCAGGGATGTGTGAGCCAATCGCTGACTCTCTTCTGTACATTAAAATCCCACTTTCCCTTTCTCCAGCCCAGAATGCCCAGAGTGGCAGCAGATATCAAAGATGTTCTCTTATTCCACCACTTCCATGGCTATCCTCTCTGGGGCTCAGTTTCCCTATCTATAAAATGGGGCTTTATATTATTCTCTGACATCTTTGAACTGCTTGGGAAACCAAGGAAGACCGGAAGGGTTTCAAATACCACTAGAAAAAGGAATTGTCTGAATATTCTCTGCACTGCTCATCCTAGAGCCATGAACAGGTGAAGTGCTCGGTAAATGTCAGTGGAAGTGGTGGGTGAATGTAGATGACCTTGAACAAGTTCCCTCATCTCTCAGAGCTCACAGTCCTCCTGTGTCAAAATCAGGATAATGACGGTGCCTGCCTCAGATGGCTGCTACAGGATTAAATGCGAACAGAAGCACACAGTGATAACATATATTATTAAAATTAGCTTGTGAATCAAAAACGAGATGAGCCAAACCAAGTCGGTGTTTTCAGAGACCTAACTGTGGCAGATAGGATTCACCTCCAGCGGATTGGCAGAGTTGCCATAGAGCTATATCGGGGATTATAAAAAGCAAATCTGCTCCCAGCATAGATTATCAATGCCTACCGTGGGCAGGAGGAGGGAATGGGGCAGCAGGGCCAGCAGGTGTACAGTGCACATGCCAACCCTGAGTGCTTAGCAAGAAAGACATCCTGCAAGGAACTCCTCCGTAAGGCAGACTGCCATGTGGGAAACAGGGACAGGTGCCATCCCCAAGCCTGAGGCGTTCCAGCCACGCCAAAGGTGAAGGGAAGGAAGCCTCAGGAAACAGCTTGAGCAAATGCCTGATGCCTGCCTGCTGTGATGCTTCTGGCTGCAAGGAACTGGTAATCCACACGAAGGGGATCAGACAAGAAGAAGCATTATTACTGCTCGTGATAGGAAGTCCCACACTGAGTGCTTTCTGGGCTGGCTACTGAGCAGCTGAACAGTGGCATCGAGTTCTTCATACATTTTTACTTTGTTGTGGGATGAATTGTGTGCCCCTCCCCTTTTATATGCCGAAGCAATTAACCCCCAGGACTCTAACATGTAAATGAGATTGGGCCTTTCAAGAGTTTATTACATTAAAAGAGGCTGTTAGGGAGTTCCTAATCTCACCCTTGGGAAAGGAGAAAATTTGGGCACAGAGATACCAGGAGCATTGATAGAAAGACCATGTGAGGACACAGCAGAAATAGAAGACGGTTGTAAGTTCAGGGGAGAGGCCTCAGGAGAAGGCAACCTCCCACACCTTGGGTTGGGACCTCTATTGTTTTAGTCCCTTGTCTGTGGATTTTGTTGTGGCAGCCCTTGCAAACTAATGCACCCAGAAAGACTGCTACAGCCACCTTGGGGAAAACAGACCTGAGCCATCCGGCAAGATGAAACCAAGAGTTTCCCTTCCTTTGTGCTTCTGTGGGGTGGGAGGCATGGAAATACTGGGGACTGAACCAAGGGAGCATTGAGGTAAATCCCCGCTCCCATTTTAAAATTTTTATTTTGAGACACATTCTTCCTAAACTGCTCAGGCTGAATGCCAACTTTTGATCCTCATGCTTCAGCTTCATTTGGGATTCCAGGTGTGTACCACCATGTCTGGGTTCTTCTGTGTCTTTTTATCATGGAGGAAAACCTTTTCCAGAGATTCATCAAAAGACCTCCCCCAAGAACCAATGGTCCAGATGCGTTAACCAGGTTATATTTGGATGTAACAAAGACCCAAACAACAGTGGCCTTAAACAGAAGTTTATCTTTTCTTCACATAATAGTTGAAGCATGCACATCCGTAATAGGTATGGCAGCTTCAAGTGTCACAACCCAAGGTGTTTTCTTTGGTTGTGCACCTTGCTGCCACCACTGTAAGTGGGTTCCTGCAGCTAGTTGTACTACCTGCAGCAACAACCAAGGACCTAGAAATGCCCTATTCTCTTGTATTCTCCACATAGGTTTCTTCCTGCCAGTACAGAATGCCATACCCTTCCCTTAAAAGAAAGAGAGGAAGTGCCCTAGCCCAAAATTCTATTGCTCACATCTCATTGGCCAGACCTTGCCTAGCTGCAAAGGACGCTGGGAAATGTAGTCTTTTATCCTCTTAGCCATAATGCCTTGCTAAAAGTTCCTTATAAAAAGAAGGGAAGCATAGCTACAGCAGATACTTGGTAGTCACTGCCTCACTGGCATCAGGTCACCTGCCTCTGCCCCCACCAATACCTGGTCTGGGGAATTATCTTAGATCAATGATTCACATACTTGGGCATGCAATCATAATCATTTGGAAGATTTGTTAAACAGGTTGCTGCTCCCTACTCATTCATTGGCTGATTCAGTTAAGCAGGGTTGGGGCCTGATTGTCTGCATTTCTAACAAGTTCTCTGGTGTTGCTAGTCTAGAGACCACTTTTTTGAGGGGGCCACTGCTTCACATCTGGTTCAGGCGGGCCTCAGACTCCTAGCAATCTTCCTGCCTCAGCCTCCCAAATGTTGGGATTACAGGTATATGCCACCATGGGTTTGGGAACCCTATTTTGAGAACCATTGTTTTAGGCCGATTATGATTTTGCTCCTTGCACCAGGTAGGGTTAAGGATAACATGTTCTGAATACTTGGAAGAGGGACCCTAGGAATCCTCTGAAAGGATGGTGAGGAAGGCTATTGGTGGCAGCCAGGAGAATTGCATGGAACAGGAAGGTGGGGGACTTGAGCAGCACAGTGGACTAGATGGGACTCCTGGAGATAGCTGGGAAGCTCAGGAGATAGTAGGGATCCAGTTTGTGAAAAGTTAGCATCAGGATAAAGGGTTGACCTTTATCCTGAAAGTACTGGGGAACCATGGGAGGCTCTAAAGCAAGTAACCATCATGATCAGATTTGTGCAAGGAATTGAGGAATCCTTAAAGGAATGGTCCTGGGAATGAGGTCTTTAGACTCCCTCTCACCAACATCTCCCTGGGACCTTTTGAAGTAGAGTTCCAGTCAAGTTCTATCTGCCCTCTGGTTATGGAGATGGAAATCTGCATTTGAAAAAAATCCCCTTGTCCTCCAAATAGTTCTGATGCTTTTAGAGGCTTGAGGACTACTAGGTTAGAGTGGAAACCCTAGAGGAGGTGACCTCTTAGAGGCAAGACCCTCTATAAAATAAACTCCTGTTCTATCTTTCTCATTCACTGCACCTGGCACATAATAGGTTCTCAATACAGACTTGTTTTAGAGGAGTGGGGACTTTGTTCTGGGTCTTGATTGTGTCATGGACTCATTTTGTGACAAGTATGTTGTCTCCCTTCCCTCTTCTTTCTCCTTATCTGTAAAATGAGTTTGGAGATAATCCCAGGATGCCTTGCCCTGGGATTCTGGATGACTGGTGGAGGTTCTAGCCAATCAATAAAGAAATTGTTTAATGTCCTACCTTTCTCAGCCAACAGCTTTTCTCATTGGAAACAGCCACAGAAATTACGGCCAAAGGAAGACTTCCTCCCCATTCTTCCTTCTCCCAACCCAGAATAGCCAGAACAATAGGACACAAGCAGCACCTACTGAAATGACTTTTAATATCTCATGTTGCAGCAAAATTAAAAATATACAAAAAGTTTGTGGAGTACAAAAAAGTCTTAGTACAGAAGCCGCAGCTTGGGGCCCCTCCCCCTCCCGGGGGCAGCTCGGAAGGGCGAGCAGAGGTGAGGGGACTGGGAATGAATGGCACAGATGTAGTAAATATCTGGAAGAGGGACTCGGACTAGGAAACAGGAGCAGCGGGGTGGGAGTCAATTAGGGAGGGAAGGAACATGGAGGGAGTCCCCCGGAATTGTGCTGACAGAGGGAAATCGGCCCCTCAGGCATGGCTAGTGGCTCCTGGAGGAAAATTGAGGCGGGATCAGAGCTAGGTGTGTGGGGGGGTTCTGGTGAGACCCTCTCTTGAACCTGGGTTCTGGTCCCTCCCTGCCATCAGCTTTCTGTGTGACCTTGGGCAGGCCACCTCTGATCTCTGGACCTGCTCCTTCCATTAAATAGGATGCTGGACAACTAAACCACTGATTCCCAACTTGAGCTGCCAGCACCTGCCCAAGGGTCTGTGGAGGCAGGAATGAGTGGGCATCCATGAGTGCTTCTGAGAATCAGCAATCCAATAGAGCACAGAAACTCCCCACCCTCAAGCCCTGGAAGCTCACTTGAGGCCTTGGCAGAATTTGCTGCAACCAGAGTCTCAGTATGAGTTAATGTGGCAAAATGAATCCTTCATCAAGAAAGGAGATCTGCTTGGGAGAAAATGCAGATCTTCCAAAGCACAGGATCATCAGGCGTGAAAAGAGTAAGTGGGGGCCCTGGGAATGGTTCCTGCTCCTTCCAGAGGGCACAGGGGCTGTTTGCTTAAGGCCCCTTCATGTTTGGGGGTTTAGCCCAATCAGACAGGTAGGGAGAAGGGAGGGAGGGGACCATGGCAGGTCTGGATGGATTCTGGGATTTAGGTGACAGGAGATGGAGGAATAGTACTTTTCCCATCTGATGCTGTCTTTACCCCCTCCTTGACCCAAAGTCCCCTCCACTCTGAGATTATTGCAGTGGCCCTGGGCTCCCACCTCTCCAGCCTGGCCTGGGGTCCTTTAGGGCCATTGTGCATAGACTAAAGGCCAGGGTTGCTGGGGAGAGGGCTGCTTTCTTGTCAAAAGAAGGTTAGAGGGGAAGAAGCCAAGGACAGGAAGTTCTCTGTGTCCCCCAGAGGGTTTTGTGTCAGGCAGGCTCTAGCAGCTCAACGGGGCCAGGCTGGGTTAGGCCTTCCTCCCCCTGCCTGCAGCAGCCACGGGCTTGGGAGTGTCACATCTCCCCAGCCAGAGTGGCAGGTTACAGTCCTCCTCCCTCTCCCCCAGCACAGGGTCTCAGAAGGGACTTAGGCCCCTGCCCCAAGGCTGCCTATGTGGCTTGGCACTCCGTCCCTTCCACTGAGAGTTCACAAAGCACTTCAGTATGGGAACCACAGCGAGGGAGGAACAGGTCCTAGGGGCCAGCACAGCATCAGGACAGTGGGTTGCACTTTAAGTCTTCATCCTGTGCCTGCACTCGACTCTCACCCGATGCAGGTTCTTCTAACCACGAGCACTGCCTCCCTCCAAAAAGAGAAGACTCTAGCCCCTAAGCTGCCCAGAGGCCCTGGGTGGACCAGTAGCCCTTAAATGATGATAGTTCTCAAGCCAGGGTCCTTGTGAATTCCTTTCCAGCTGAGGAAGGTATGGGATCTTCTTTCAGATGGCCAGGTGATGGGGCATAGAGTTAGACTGGTAAAATCTCAGAGGAAGCCAAGGCCTCTGTCCCTCGATTCCCCACAAGGTTTCCAAACCCTGTAGGCCTCCCCAGAATCTTTTCAACATTTTGAACCGAAGTTGAGGTTTTCAAGCTGGTGACCCTGGTATGAGCACGGTGCATTTGTAAATATCTGGACTTCAGTGCCAATGGGTGGAGCGGAGCATACACTGTCCTGTTTGCCAGAGGTCCCCCCATCTCCTCATCCCTTCCCTAGCTTTCATTTCTTGCAGACATTTGAGTTTGCGAGCCACAGGCAAACTCCAGAGAATCTTCTTCTCGTGCTCGGTGCCAGGCCAAGTGCCTCCAAGGGAAGGACCTGCAGAACTCGTCTTCAGGAAGCTTTGGGGCTGCCAGACAGGCACATTCCCAGCCACCTCACCTGGAGACCTGACCCGCCAGCCTTCTGCTTTTCTCTCATGGGTGACCCAGCTCCAGGGAGACAGCATCATGGGGAGCTGGCTGAGGGTAAGGCAGATTTGGGGGAGGTACAGGAATGAGACAGAGGAGATGAGAGAGCTGAGAAAGCCTCCCTTGCCGGGGAGGATGGAGGCCTGTGCGGCTTAGCTGGAGTGACCGTTACAAGGCACATGGTATGTCAGTGTGTGCATGTGTGACGAGGGGTGCTAAGGACAGGTTCGGGACCACAGTCAGCAGCTTATGGGGTCAGTTCGAGGGAGGGAGCTCAAGGAAGAAGGGAGACTGAAATCTGCCCTGGGAATAGGAACAGGTCCCTCTGGGTTAAATACGAGGGCAGGGCCTCCTGCTGCTTTGGTATCAGTGTCTTCTCCTCTCTTCCTGGCAAAATTAAGATAGATCTGACCACCTCTCATCCTCAGGAGAATCTCAACTTTGTTCCTGACTTCCTGTGTGACCTTGGGCAAGAGACTGCCCCTCTCCCGGCCATTTGTCCTTCTTAATGGACGAGGAGGGCGGGTGACTGGCAGGATCCTAAGAGCCCCTCTGGGCTGCGGTTGTGGAGCCCTCTCACAGCAGGACTTTGTAGGGATTCTAGGGAAGACTGAGCATCCAGGCTGGGTGAGGCAGGAAATGGGGAACGGAGAACCCAAGGGGTTCAGCTTTAGCAGGGAAGACAGACAGGCTGAGGTAGATTGTGTGACAGAAAGGAACAGGAACCAGCTCCAAGGGAATGGGCCCTCTCTCACTCTGACAGACCAGCAGAGTGGGGGACCTCAGGGCAGGCAAGATGGGGTCCTAAAACCCAGGTCAGAAGGCTGAGCTCTCTCTGAGGCTAAGCAGCACAAGGTGCCCACCGCCCTCTCCTCTGGCTCTGTGACCCTGACCTTCTCTGGTGTTCAGATGTTCTTACACACACAGGTCCTGAGGGAAAGTTTCGTGGGACCAAGTTTTGAAAAATGTGGCTGTGGTTTCCCTGTGAGCCCCAAGCTGTTCCTGGCACTGCCAGCCCACTCACGTGCCCAGCTCCTGGAGCTCCCAAAGTTGTAGAGGACTCCCAGCTCCTAGGAAGGGTACTTCTAGATTTTCCTTCTAGGACACTAGAGAATGAGACAGCCAGAAGGCCATCCCAGGATCTTAGGGGGCAAACTAACTTGCCAAGGTGACCCTCAGGTGGCTGTGCTGAGCCTCAGTTCCCTCATGTGTAGGATGGGAAGACAACACCTCTGATTGGCATGCTGCAAGGAGGGGAAAGTGTGAGGGAAACTGCGTGGGGTGAGGTTTCCTGGCACAATCAGCCCTGAGGAAACAGGCAGTTGGGTCTCGGTCCCCACCAACAGTGCTTGTCACACAGACTGGCATGTGTATAACCAACCATGGGACTGGTCTTAGGAGACAGATCGAGGCAGTGGATGAGGAACATGGGTGAGCCCACCAGAGTGGACCTGCCAACGCAGGGTGGGGCCACTCATCACTGTTGAGTTCCTGAGGCTCCTCAGGAATCAGAGAAGCAGAGGAAGAAGGAAAAGCGTTCTGTGTGGCAGGAGGGATACACCATCTTGGCCTGGTGCTTTCTGTGTGGCCACCTGTGGTGCCTGGGGCTGGGTTACTTGTATCACAGATGTGACATGTGCTTGTGTGTGTGTGTGTGTATGTGTGTGCACATAGTCCTACCCTTTTTACACCCTGAGTGTGGCCTTCTCCTTGCATTCTCAGCAGATCTGTTATCCATCACCATTTGATGGGACAACCAGCCATCGAGGGCCTTGTGAGAGCAGCTGCCACTCGGGGCTTCTGTAACCTTAGCACACCTTATAATTTGCATAGTGTAGAATTCTCATGGCCTACCTTGCCCCCAGCCAGGGTCTGCATCTGTCCCTAAAGTCCCCTGCTGTCCCCTCCTAGTGAACCCACCTTGGCTGGTTTGGAGAAAAGGAAGGCTCCATCCCTCCAACCCACAGGGCCACCTATTATTTCCCCACCCCACACTCCAGTACCCATCTAGGACTGGCTCCTTGGGTCAGAGGAGCAGCCCTGCATGTGTGGTCCCACGCACACCCCAGGATGTTTGGATCATGGGAATGGACCATGAATCCTGGGGGTTTGTCAGATCTGAGACAAAACAAGACTGTTTCCCAGATGCTGCCCTGGAGAGCTGCATCTGCAGGGTGGCAGAGAGCCAGGATTCCTGTCACGTCCACAGAGCTATTATTTTTTCTGCTGAGAACAAGTTGGCAGTTGAAACAGCTCAGATTCTGGGGACAACTTCTTTTTTAGAAAGATGACTGTGGACCAAGATGGACAAGAACTCAACTCCCGTAAGCCCCAGAGGTCTGGAACTGCAGCACTATCCCTAGACTGTTCCATTTGCACTGGGTTCTAGGACCCCCTTCCCCTCACCACTGCAGGGGACACTAGACTCCTCCACAGTGGTGCAGTGTCCTTGCTCCTGTGTCCTTATTCCTTCCAACAGAATATAGATCAGCAACTCCCTAGGACATTTTATCAGCTACATGTTCTAGAACTTCATTCTGTGTGTCTGGAACAGTTTCCTCTGCTGACTGTCCGGCCACCTCATCTGTCGTTGAGCCCACACAGAATATCTTCCTAGACACTTTATCAGCTGTCCAAGACCTTCAGCTAGCAGAGATGTTCCAGATGCTCATCTAGGGCAAAGAATGGCTCCTTGAAAAGTTCACCTGAGGTGTCTAGAACCTCATCCACACCAGTCCCCAGCAAGGCATGTTTCCCGAGAAGCTCGTGCTCCTTACTCTTTCTGCTCTGGATTGCAGATTCCCCTCCCCAGACCTTCACCCTGCCATGCTTCTGCCAGCCTGGGCCCTCAGGACTCCTTCTCCTGTCCATCTCTGCACCATCAGCCCCCACCCAACTCCCCCACCCCAACTCTCCTTCTTTCAAGTTCTCTCTTGCCCAGCTCCAGGCCTCAGACTCTACAGAATGTGCCAACCCCGTCCACAAGATCTAACAGCTCGCTCCACACCTTCCACCATCTCCTCCATCCATCTCAGAGATTCTCTCCCATCACATAGGCAGCCATACTCTTCACACCCTCTGGAGAGCGAAGGACCTAGGCCATGGATCTGACAGTGCCCTTCCTCTGCTAGGTGCACCAGGGGTAACAGCGAGGCAACGCCAGGCAGGAGCTAGGGTATCAGCCCCTTGCATCAGACATGGTATGGGGACCCCAATAAAAATGGGGCAGCTTGTGAGAAATGTAGCACCAGTCAACTCCCTGGGCCCTGGTTCAGGGGACTTTAGGAATGGGCCAGAGGGCTGAAAACCAGGCCTGGACTGAGGCCTCCCCTAAAAGTTTGCCCTCAACCCTAAAAGAACCCAAAGGTGCGGCCACTCTATTCCTGGACCAACAGATCCACTCCCTCTTAACCTGGTGGCCCTCAAACTCCAGGGCAACACTGTGGTTGATGTGGAGTCAGCCACATCTGTACCCTTTTGGGGGAAAACTGTGGCCTACACCGTGGTCTCATACTCCAGCAGCTCCTGGGATGTCCCCACGCTCCGGTACTGCAACCGAGGTGTGGCAGGTGAGGAGTACTCCAGTGCCAGAATGGTCTTCCGGAGCCGGCGGTCAATAAAATGAGCATCCCATGCTGGATACTTCTTACGAGGCAAATCAATCCGAATGACAGGCCTCTCTGTCCGCACGGGCCGAGCTACTGGTGTGGGAGGCAAGCCAGGCCGCACCTGAAAGACAGGTGGCGTGGGAGTCCCTGCACGCTCACCCCCCACTGAAACCCCATCCCGCTCCATGCCTGTAGTCCTTGGCAGGGACCTTGGAGGGCTTGTGACAGCATCAAATGGTGGACCACAGGACCTTGGGGTCTCACGGAAGATGCAGCCAGGCATCTGGGGACCCAGCATAGGCCCATTGGGGTGCAGGAGACAATAGTAGACACACATGAAGAATATGCCCAGCGCAAAGCTAGAGGCCACCACGCAGACCAGAATGAGCGAGTAGAAGTTGGTGAAGCCGTGGTTGGAGTACCAGAAGCCAGTGAGCGCAGCGTTCTCCAGCAGGACGATGCAGTAGTACAGGGTCATGCGGCGGCGGCTGCGCCCCTCCTTGACGTTGAACCAGCAGAAGATGTAGATGATGCCTACCACCATGTTGTAGATGATCTCCTCCCACTTGGACATGCAGAAGTCAGTCTCACCCTGGATGACCCAGAAGGTCATGATGCACCAGTGGGCCACAATGAAGATGCCAAAGTAGAGTTTATAGACACTGGCAAAGAGGGCAAAGGCCAGGCTGCGGGCTGCGATGGTGAACAGGTGCCATAGCACCTGAGCCACAGCGCCCTTGTAGGACAGCGGCCGCTTGTCATCCCTTGAGTCCCGCAGCACCTTCTGGTAGGAGGCCAGCGTCCATGCCAGGGACACGAGGGAGGCAGAAGTGGAGAGGGCTGTGGAGACAGGGTGGGGACGGGGTGGGCTGGGTTAGGGTGGGTCTGGGTGAGGGTCTGGGGAGAGCAGGAGGGATCTGGGTCAGGCGCTGCCCTGATGGTGAGAAGGCAGATCTGTAAGGAGGTGTCCCCAGGAGATGCAGGCTGGAATCAGGAGTCTGGGGAATGAACAGGGCAGTGGACTTTCGCCGCGGGTCTGCAAGTTGAGGGGTGAAGGGCAGAAATGGGTCTGGGTTGCCCTGGCAATGGAAAGGGAGAAAGGCAAGTGGGAGATGCCCAGGGCGCTTGAGGGGTGGTGAGACAGTGAAGGGTCAGGGACAGGGACCATGGGTGTCTTGTCAGGCCTGGAGTGAGGAGGGTACAGGGTGGGCCTCCCTAAGGCTTGCCAGGAGCCTTGAGGTAGGGGAGGGTGCAGGGCTTCCCCAGGGCCCGCAGCAGGGGCGGGGCGGGGCTCACCGGGCAGCAGGTCTGGCTCGCGGTTTTCTTGCACCAACAGAATGAGCTGCAGCACGAGCTGCGGCGCGCTGCGCAGGAAGGTCTCCAGTAGACGCAGCATGCTCACGTCCGCGCTCTCGAACAGCATCCGCCAGTAGAAGTGGCGCCGCAGCTCCTCCCCGCGCCAGCGACTCTGAAGGCCCAGGTACAGGGCGTGCAGGTACCTGCGGGAGGCACGCGGAGCTCAGCGTCCGGCGCTCTTCAGCCCGGGCCCTCCCACCCGCCCCAGCCTGTAACCCGCGCAGCGGGAGTCCCTCGGCGTGCAGTGAAATGGGCCAGCGGAAAGCATCGCCTTGGGCCGCGGATGGGGCACACCACGTCGGCTCATTAGCTTCCCTTGCAGGAGGCCTTTGATGCAGCCTTATCACTGACCTTAGGCGGCGGCCTCTGAGGGTTTACTGACGCTGAGAGTGCTTACACCAGCCCTAGTATCATGCCCAACTTGGAGAAGACCCAGGGAGGCCTAGCCCTCGCTCAGGGTCTCACAGCCAGGCAGCAGCGGGAACAAGGATTCAAACCCAGGCAGTGCTCTGACCATTTGAGCACAATGCCTCTTACTACTCACATCATAGAGGGCTTAATTACCTCAACACACTCACCCTGTCACCCCCACCCTGGGTTCTGCGGCAGCCGCTTTTAGGCTGACCTCATCCAGTGCCTGGCCCTCTGGGGGCAAAGGGTGCTCAATTCCTCTAGGTATTTAAGACCGTGCTGATTCCTTTTGTGACACTTCTGCCAACAAATTTTTGAGGCTCAAGCTACTCCAGCAGGCCACAGATTGCATTGCGCTCAGCGCCCTCTTCCTGCTGAGCTTTTATACCTGCTACACTCTCTGGCTGAAATATCCACCCTGTCCCCAGGCCCAAGCCCCAAACCTGGAGAAGTTTTGCTTTTCTTCCAAAGCTCTGCTTTTAACTTTGTTTCAGGAAACTGTTGATCACCCCTCAGTAGGGGTGGAGCCCCCTCCCAACTTCTATCCTTCTCAGAACTCATCGAAGTGGGTTGTTTTGTTTTTGTTTTATGAGACAGGGTCTCACTATATAGTACAGGCTGGCCTTGAACTCACTTTGTAGCCCAGGCTGGTCTCGAACTCACAGTGATCTTCCTGGCTCAGTCTCTAGAGTGCTGGGATTACAGGTGTGCACCATCATGCCTGGATCTTGCAGTGGGTTCATACGTGCATCTCCCCAAATTGAGCTCTAGGACACTGACTAGGCCAGCCTGCTCACTGTGCACACTGTGTTCTCATCACATAGTAGGTGCTCAGATTGTGTGAGCTGAAGGAATGAAAGAATGCATTGTATGGAAGCCTGCTGAGCTGATTAGAGTGCAGGTAACCTGGAGGTGGGCGAGGGGTGGGGTGGCTGGGAGGGAGGAGGAACTGGAGTCCTGGTCCAGGTCCTGATTTCACTGGTAATTTACTGTGTAATCCTGAACAAGACCCTCTCTGAGAAAGACCCTCATCTCTCTCAGAGGAGCTGTGAGGACTGAATAGACAAGAAGCTACTTTGTACACAAATCTCTGCCTCCAGTTTCCACTCTGGCCTAGCAGCTGCACTCGGCTGTTGCGTCCACAGATTCCGCCCCTTCCCAGCCTCCTAAAGGCTTAGTTCATGTCAGGGGCAGGCCATTTGCGGAAATGGTAGAGCAATCCTCCGAAAGTTGCCTCCCTAGGAAACCAGGCAGGAAATTTCCAACACAAGTTTAGTGACCTTATTGCCCAAATCTGAAATTGGGGAGCCAGGATTTGGAGAGTCTAGTCTCAGATGACAAGTGCCAGTGTCTCCAGTATGTCGTTTGGGAAAGTGAGTTTCCTCAAATGGGTATCTTGCTCTTCGCAGTAGTATGGCCTTCTCTGGGCCTCAGTTTCTCCATTGGCCAATGAGAGGGAGGGCTTGAAGGCCTTGGAGATTCTTTCAGAGGTTATATTCTGGGGCCACAGTGTCCCCAGAAAATGTGGCCAGGAGCTTCTTGTTTGGAGCCCTCCTCCCATCCCCATACTGTAGACACATCGTCCACACGTCACAGGATTGGCAGCCAGGATGGGGAAGGGGCCATCCCCTCAGAAGCTGATTTGGGGCCCACAAAGACCCCTCAGGCCAACTCTCCTTTCCAACACTGGAATTCCTTCAGTCCTTTGCAGCCTGCACATTCACACTCATTGCTTGCACACTTCCCTTCCTCCCGATGTGAGGGCCTCGGCTTCTGAGCCTCTCCAGGCCTGGAGTTTGTTTCTTCTGATGTGAAGAAATTTGTGTCACTTTATCTTTCATTCTCTGGGCCCTTTCCTGTCACCCACATAATGATTTCTGCAACTAGAATCATTCTTTGCCATTCATGTTATAGCAAGCATATTTTAGCTGCCCTCCCATTTCTCACAGTCTCATGGTGGGGGGTGATAGGAGACAGGTAAGAGGTGAAGTAGACACTACAAGATGCTTTGGAAACCAGAGGGGTAACTTCCCTGCAAGTTGGGGAGAAAAGTCAGGGAGGCCTGGAGGAAGAATGATTTGATCTCAGTTTTAAAGCAAAGATCAGCATTTGAAGACCCCAAGAGATAGAAGGTCACTCCAGGTGGATGACCCGGGTGACACAAAGGTGCAGAGCCAGGAGGAGAGTGCATGACATTTCTGGGCAGTGGCCAGTGGCTTGCTGGACCTGGACAGGAGGGTTTTAATAGGCAAAGGCATAAAAGACTAGAACGGTAAAGGGCAGCACATTCTGGACACAGAGGGGCTGGCAGTGTAGCTAAGGTTCTGAGCACTTCCTTAGCATGCATCAGGCCCTGAGTTTGACCTTTGCATCATTAAACAAATTCGGACTGCAGAGTTTGCATTTTATTGTAGATCTGAATTCTATCCCAGAATCAGAGGGATGTTATCAGCTCAGTAGCTCTGAAAGCTGGCACTGGAGACAGGTTTGGAAGGAAGCCAGGAAAAGCTGGGGTTTGGTCCAGGCCTGCAATGACAGGGCTGAGCAGGGGACACAGGAGGGCAGAAAGCGCACCTGGAGTGACTAGAAGGGGCTGTGCGAGAGGCCAAGGTGGCCCCAGGCCTCTAAGGGGCTCGGAACACTGTCATCCTCCCTGACCTCCTCCTCTTCTGCCTTCCCAGCCCATGGCCCCCGCCCCCGCTCCCATGGCTCTGGCTTTGAACAGGAAGGAGAGACCAGCTGGTCCAATGTGAAGGGGCCTGGGGAGTTGGGGGAGGGTGACACCCTGGAAGTTTCTCTCAGGCTGGAAGACCATCTGTTTCCGGGCCGGGTCAGCATGAGGGAGGCCCCGGCTCCAGGCCAGCATCCATCACCACCTGACGCCCAACTGCCCACCTCCCCACCCACTCCTGCCCTCTCCTCGCCAGCTCTCTGTTCATGGCAGACAAAGGGCTCACACAGCCCAGTGTTGCTATGGGCAGTAACAGGGACAGGAGAGGGAAGAAAGGAGACCTGAGGTCAGCGGAGAGCACATAGACCTCACCACAGCCTGGGGATGAAAGGCCTGGGCTCTGTCTTGCTTGGCCTCTTTGGCAACAGGATCCAAGCTGGCCATTTTTTCCAGCCAGCACTAAATGCTCACTGCCAAAGTCTGAGAGATGTTCGTGGACCTAGAAGAATATTAGAAGTCTGAAAAAATAATTGGCTCCAAAACATAGGGAAAAACTGCAGAATCAAAATTAATAAATGTTTAATTAAATGTCTGCAAAACAGAACATGATGTCAGCCAGTCAACTGCAATTTGGCTTTTACCTGGTTATGTATAATTTACATCTGATATTTGATGTGGCTACATTTTAATATGCTTGATAGATGTAGAAGAGCCCACAAAGGTCTTAAAATAGTCCAACCCAGAGCATGCCACCTAATTTCCCTGGCCTCAGTTTCCTCTTCTCAAAGACAGGGCTGGCACTTGCCATCCGGCTTGCATTATGGTTGCCGGGTAAAGATCAGAAAAGAAATATTCCCGAATGTAGGTTTGTGACCCAGCCCCGCTCTGGACTTTTTGTATCCCTGGGTGGTCTCTTTGCTTCTCTGAGCCTTATTATAAACATTAAATTAAGTGATGAGTTAGAAAATAATTTACAAACTGTAAAGGGCTGGGTACACAGAAGTGGGGGACATACCTCAGGCTCCTCCTTACCACCAAGCAGCCTCTCTGGGAGTCTCCTCCAGGAAGTCCACCCTATCCCCCATTCCACTCTGTTTGGAAGGAAATTGACAGAAGCTGATGTCACTGTGAATGGGACTGGTACCACCCACAGAGAAGAACATACTATCTCAAGGCAAAGAATCCAGATTTGTGGGGAAGGGACATACATTTGCTTTTTACCAGAATATATCCTTTCTTTCTTTCTTTTTTTTTTATAGATACCGGGAATTGAACTCATGACCACGCACTGGCAAGGCAGGTGCTTGTGCCACTGAGCTAAATCCCCAGCCCCAAGAATATATCCCCATCCATCCATGTGTCCAACGTCACTGCCAGGTGCAGGAAACCGTTGTCTCTTGCCTGGACACCCACATGGGCCTCCTCTGTGGGCTCCTCCCCCGGCAGACCTCTCCCCACATGCAGTCTGTGGGAGAGCTCCAGAGCCTGTCAGATCACGTCAGTCCCCTTTGAAAGACCTTCCAGCGGCCTCCCAGCACAGTTGGACTCAAACTTGGGCTTTTCCCCTCAGCTTGCAGGCTCAAGCCATCTGTTCTGACTGTTTCTCATTGTGTCTCAAACCACAGTCTATGTATTCACCACACTCCAGGTCCCCTGGAGGGTCTAGCCAAACTTGTTCCTGATACAGGACCTTTGCAGTTGCTGCTTGCTGGGCCTGGAACAAGACCTCTTCAGATCCTGCAGTGGCTGCTCCTCCTCAGCTCACTCATTGCCTTCATAGAGAGGCCTCCCAGGCCGCTTCCGCCCTCACCAAATCACTCTAGTCTATCAACTCCTCTCCTCATTTTCTGATTACTATACTGTGTCTTTATTTATTTAAACACTTACTTTCTAGTCTTTTTTAAAGTCCCCCCCCCCTTCTGAGACAAAGTCTCACTATGTAATTCAGGCTAGCCTTGAACTCAGTATGGATTTCAGGCTGGCCTCAAATTATTTTCTGTTCCATCACTGGAGAGTCTATGAGAGCAAGGATCTTATCTAAGTCACCACTGTGTCTCTTGC